AGATCCACTAACCAGAGGCAGGGGCAAAAGACATATACTTAGATTTAAAGAGCAGAGTGCCTCTGAGCATATACTAAGCAGAGGAATTTCTTTTGTAGACTGGAACTGAATTCACACGGTCCTTTTGCACAACAGCCCACTCCTTCTGGATAAAGGTAAAGGTAAAGGTACCCCTGCCCGTACGGGCCAGTCGTGTCCGACTCTAGGGTTGTGCGCCCATCTCACTTAAGAGGCCGGGGGCCAGCGCTGTCCGCAGACACTTCCGGGTCACGTGGCCAGCGTGACAAGCTGCATCTGGCAAGCCAGCGCAGCACACGGAAACGCCGTTTACCTTCCCGCTAGTAAGCGGTCCCTATTTATCTACTTGCACCCGGGGGTGCTTTCGAACTGCTAGGTTGGCTCCTTTCGAACTCCTTCTGGGTAGCTTTCTTCATTTCAGCCACCTGATTTAGCTGGAGATAGTCATTTTCTTGTGACTGTTGTTAAACAGCAACTGGGAGTCTAAAAGCCTTGTCAGTCTTCTGCAAATCAGCCAGAGATCCACCAAAAGATATTCGTCTACTTTTGCGCATCCCTGAACTAGAAAACCCACTCATCCTTGGCAAATGAGTCGACTGTGGCTACATGCACTCCATACATTTAAAGCACCATGAGAATTCTGGGAGATATAATTTGTTAAAGGTGCTGGGAATAGTTAGGAGACCCCTGTTCCCCTCCTAGCTGTTTAAGAATAAAACCCATTTTCCCAGGAAAATCTGAAAATTGTTGCTCTGTGGGTTGAAAGGGGGCCTCTGAACAACTCTCAGCACCCTTAACAAACTATAGCTTCCACAATCCAGTTAAAAGTGGTGCAATAGCGCTTTAAGCATAAGGTGTGAATGTGATCCTTGAAAGGGTCCACTGGAGGTAGGTATGCCTGTAAAATATGGTCCTAGCAGAGAAAGGAGTGTTCAGTTTGTGTTTGTCTGTCATCTGAGCCATGAACTGGATGGCCTTAAGAGGATGTAGATAGACAGACGAAAAGATAGAAAGACAGATAGATTCAGATATCTCTCTCACACACTATTTCTCCTTGCCTCTGTTCCCTATTTGTGCACAATGACTCAGACCTCTTTACTGGTGACTCAGGAATGCACACAGACCGGCACTTCTCCATGTGACCAGCAACAGGAAGGCAGGCACAGAGCAGGTGGCCTTGTCCACACAGTGGCACTCTGTGACCCCACACTCTTTGGGCACACTACTTCTGTGGGTGCAAATGCTGGGACCTGGGAGGATCGCACCTAGTTTCAGCCTCTTCCTCCACTCCAAGGGCCTCACTAGAAGGGGAGAAGAGTTCTGGCCTGGAGGTCCCCTAATTTGTAGAAGCAAGAGGTAACATTGGAAACATGTTTCTATTTGGAAACATGGCCAAGGTCCACACCTCAAGGCACAGTGGGCCCCCACCTTGTCAAAACTAAGCAGGTCCAGATCTGATCAGTGGGTTAATGGGGGACTACCAGGAAATCACCTGTAGGTTGCCTTAATGGAAGAGAGATGAGACATAAAACATAAGAAAAATCACATTAGATTCCTTTGTTTATTTATTACTACACTTATATCCGGCCTTTCCTCCAACCAGCTTGAGGCAACATAGATGGTTTTTTTCACACACACATCAACTTATCTTCACAACAACCCTTTCATATAGGTTAGGTTGAGAGATAGTGGTTGGTGCAAGGTTGAGCTTCATGGCTATGTGGGGGATTTGAAGCTAGGCCTCCACAGGTTAACACTCAGGAGCTGGAAGCTCCCACACCTTGTGGTGTGAGGGAATGCACTTTGCACCTGCTTGTAGATGCATTAATCTTTCCTGACTTCATGGGTTCCACAAATTAAGCTCTGCACAACCCTCAGTTCTTGTCCCAACTGCACTTGACAGGGTGTCAGAAGTTTTCTGCATTGCATTTTGCATAGCCTCTCGAGAAAGTCTTGCATTTGTTAGGATCTGATCCAAACTGGCTGGCCACTGCTGTTCACCTCAGTGGTTGTCTGTTCCCTGTTCCCAGAATCAGCTGTAAAAAAGTTATTACTTCTATCTTATTCCTTCTCAAACCTGCATCCCACCCTTCATCAACGTTCCCAGAGCAGCTGTGCTGATTCCTCCCTGAGCACCACCTCCCTACTCTTGACTCTCTTGTGGACATGAGTTGACATACTGTACAACAAGTATAATAATGATCATGACATAGTGGGTGTTATCTAGGTAAATGATTTTAAAAAACAACAGCAACCTACAGTTTTCAATAAATAAAATGAATGTTGAAACATTTCAGGGAACGTGCCTCCAGCACAGCTATATCTCCATGGCTGACATGTAGCCAAGATACGTTATGAACTGGGCTCTAGGGAAATTAAACAAGAGGCAGTGGAAAGTGGAATAAATCTTCCCCTTTAAAACATCAGGGTGTTCCCACCTAGCCTACCAATCAGAGAATCCATTTTCCAGGGGCCCAAATACACCCCTTTGCGAGCAGCCCTTTTTTAAACCAAATTGCTCAAATTATCTCTTCGTGGCTTCTGGCCACATTTGCAACATGTGGGTGGGAAAGCTGTCACGTAAGGGGGGGAATATTCAACAGAAAAGGGAAAAAAACTTTGCAGAAACAGCTGAGTCATTCCTTAGCAGTTAAGATAGATTCAGCTCCATGATGGGTAAGAGGCCATTGGGTCATGTCTGGCTTCAGTCCCACTATTTCTGCTGCCACCAGGTCATATTAAGAATTGTGAGTAGAAATTAAGCTCACAATGCCATCTTTTTCTCTTGAGGGTTGACCTCGTTTTGCACATGTGTGACTTTAACTGAAAGTGCCAGATTGAATATAGTGAACTCCTTTTGCTATTATTACACAGTATGAAAAATAGCAAGAGTAGCCTCCTCCTCCGCTGCCCATTCTATCAACTTACTCCTCTTTGTTCTGGACATTTCTTCTCACACACCATAGTTTGGAAACCAACAGTATCAGTAGATGTTGGGCAAGGTCTTCCCCAGATGGGTTGCAGTTCCCAGAGTAAAAAGGTAAAGGTACCCCTGCCCGTGCGGGCCAGTCGTGTCCGACTCTAGGGTTGCATGCTCATCTCGCTCAAGAGGCCGGGAGCCAGCGCTGTCCGCAGACACTTCCGGGTCACGTGGCCAGCATGACTAAGCGGCATCTGGCGAGCCAGCACCAGCTCCGCACACAGAAACGCCGTTTACCTTCCCGCTATAAAGCGGTACCTATTTATCTACTTGCACTTAGGGGTGCTTTCAAACTGCTAGGTGGGCAGGAGCTGGGACCGAACGACAGGAGCTCACCCCACCGCGGGGATTCGAACCGCCGACCTTGCGATCAGCAAGTCCTAGGCACTGAGGTTTTACCCACAGCACCACCCGCATCCCAGAGTACCTGAATGCTAAAGTCTATCCCCTTCCCCAAGGCAAAGGTTAGCTGGCTGCAAGAGAATGAAAGCTCTTCAAGTCTGCTGGTGGCACAAATGTGAAAGGAAGTGCAACCACTATAGAGGATGAGATCATGGTTTCTATAAGTGCCTTGGTAGTGTGGAGTAATGGATGCAAAGATTAAGTGCAGCTTTCTGAGCTAACACTAGCAGGCCCATGGCTACCTCTTAAGAACATATGAAGAGCCTGCTGGATCAAGCCAATGGCCCATTTAGTCTAGCACCCTGTTCTCACAGTGGCCAACCAGATGCCTGTGGGAAACCAGAGCACCAGACCACACTCCCCTCCTGTGGTTCCCAGCAACTGGTATTCAGAAGCATTGCTGCCTCTGGCTGTGCAGGCAAAGCATAACCATCATGGCTAGTAGCTGCCGATAGCCTTCTCCTCCATGGATTTGTCCAATCCTCCTTTAAAGCCATCCAGGTTGGTGGCCATCATTGCCTCCTGTGGGAATGAGTTCCACAGTTTAACTATCCACTGTGTCAAAAAGGACTTTCTTTTGTCTGTCCCGAATGTCCCAACTTTCAGCTTTATTAAAGCTTTCAAGTTCTAGTGTTATAAAGGAAGGAGAAAAACTTTTCCCTGTCCACTTTCTCCATGCCATGTATCATTTACAAACTTCTATTCTGTCACCACTTACTCGCTTTTCTCTAAACTTTCCCTTACTTCTGCTGCTGGGGAGATCTTCTGGTGGAAAAGGGGCCATACACCTGTGTAACCTTAGTCTACAGTGGTCTGGCGAGCAGAGAAAATGTAGCCAGTCGTTTCCCTTCTATTATTTTTAGGGTAGCCTAGTATTCTACCTTACAATAGAATGATCCTCTCTTTATAGGTAGAGGACAGTTCTCTTTTTGAGGGTAAAAAGGTAAAGGTAAAGGACCCCTGACAATTAAGTCCAATTGTGAATGACTCTGGGGTTGCGGCGCTCATCTTGCTTTACAGGCCAAGCAAGCCGGCGTTTGTCCACAGACAGTTTTCCGGGTCATGTGGCCAGCATGACTAAACCGCTTTTGGCGCAATGGAACACCGAAACCAGAGCAGCGCACGGAAACACCGTTTACCTTCCCGCCGGAGCGGTACCTATTTATCTACTTGCACTTTTTTGCTTGCTTTTGAACTGCTAGGTTAGCAGGAGCTGGGACCAAGCAACGGGAGCTCACCCCATCATGGGGATTTGAATCACTGACCTTCTGATCTGCAAGCCCAAGAGGCTCAGTGGTTTAGACCACAGTGCCACCCGCGTCCATCTTTCTGGGGGTATCCTCTCTTATTTGAGGGGCTATCCAGTCCAAGGCTGATTTAAATATAAAGAACCATAAAACCCAGTGTGGTGTAGTGGTTCATCTGTCAAACTAGGACCTGAGAAACCTGGGTTCCAATCCTACTTGGCCACTGGGTTACTGCCTCTAAGCTTAACCTACCTCACAGGGTTGTTGTGGGGATTAAGTGAGGAGAGGCAGAACTATGATTTCCACCTTGAACTCCTTGGAGAAAAGGTAGAATATTAATTAATTAATTAAGCTGGATAGTTCAGTTGGTTAGAGCATGGTGCTGATAATGCCAAGGTTTCAGGTTTGATCTCTGTACAGGACAGCTGCATATTCCTGCATTGCAGGAGGTTGGACCGGATGATCCTTAGGGTCCCTTCCAAGTCTACAGTTCTAGGATTTTAACTGGGAGAGTAGGTGCAGCCTTGAAGCACTTTAGGGGGTTCCAGCTCCTATGACTGGACAGCAGATGGAGCAGGTGTTTCTTCCTTTCTATAGTGAGATGTATTTCTACTGAGATCAAAGTCATTATTTCTAACTTTGTAGTTATAAATGTAAATTAGCATGTGCAAATGTCATGCAGACCTGGATCACCTTTTGCCCTCTTTTTTTAGATGATGCATAAGTGGTTCCCTTAATAATTCTGCACGGAGGGGGGGTTGTCTCTTGGCAGAGAGAAGCCCTCTGCTCTTGAGCCCTCTCCTCTCCAGATTGCCACCATCGATGTTTGCCTGCAGACATCTCCAGTTTACCTTATAAATAGATGCTTGTCAAGATCCAGTTTTCACTCCACAGGCCAGCAATGCAGTTTCTGGGGAGCTCTTTCTTGCAGACTGTCTGGGGCCATGGAAGCACGTCTACTAACCAGTTATGAAGATCAAGGCAAATTAAAGGAACTGGCTCAGATGTTAATCACAGGGAAACTGCACACACATAACCAAAGGGAAAGGAAACTCTCTCCAGTAACCCCAGAGTCTAGATCAAATCCTCCACTCCAGGGCTTGCCTTCACTCAGGATTCACTGGAGGCCAGGGATCCTGAAACAATGCACTAAACAAGACAGCAATACCTCTGACTATGTGCAGAGGGTCTTCCTCTCTCCACTGAAGGTCAAACTTGATGAGAGATCTGCGAATAGGGTGATTTTGATTATTGATTTTTTTAAAAAAAATGTGAGTAGCTAAAGCACCCACAGCAGCTGGGTGTGTGTGTGAGAGAGAGAGATTTTGGTTCATGGCACTACCCTAAGGGACTTTAACCCTTTTCTCCCATCCTATTCTGCCACTTAAAGTTCACCCACACTTTACCCTGGTTGAAATTCTGGAGAGCTAGTACCAGTCAGAGCACAGGATGGATGGTGACAAACAGATTGAGGTTGAATCCTGACAAGAGAGAAGTACTGCTTGGGGGGGGGGCAGAGTGTGGGTGGGTGTGGGGGACTTCCTGATCCTGAATGGGGTAACTGTGCCTCTAAAGGACCAGGTGGGCAGCCTCGGAGTCATTTTGGATTCACAGCTGTCCATGGAGGCACAGATCAATTCTGTGTCCAGGGCAACTGTCTACCAGCTCCATCTGGTATGTCAGCTGACAACTTACTTGCCCATAGACTGTTTCACCAGAGTGGTACATGTTCTGGTTATCTCCCGCTTGGACTATTGCAATGTGTTCTACATGGGGCTACCTTTGAAGGCGGCTCATAAACTACAACTAATCCAGAATGCAGCAGCTAGACTGGTGACTGGGAGTGACCGCCAGGACCATATAACACTGACCAGACTAAGGGATCTTCACTGGCTCCCAGTACATTTCTGAGCACAATTCAAAGTGTTGGTGCTGACCTTTAAAGCCCTAAATGGCCTTGGCCTAGAATATCTGAAGAAGTATCTCCACCCCTATCATTCAGCCTGGACACGGTGGTTCTCCTCTGAGGGTCTTCTGGCGGTTCCCTCACTGCAAGAAGTGAAGTTACAGGAAACCAGGTAGAGGGCCTTCTTGGCAATGGCACCCTCCCTGTGGAACACCCTCCCATCAGATGTCAAGAAGATAAAGAACTTGCAACTTTTAGAAGACATCTGAAGGCAGCCCTGTATTGGGAAATTTTCAATGTTTGATGTTTTATTATGTTTTTATATATACTGGAAGCCTCCCAGAGTGGCTGGGGAAACCCAATCAAATGTTTGTCATTTTCTTATAGAATCATAGAATTGTAGGGTTGGAAGGGACCACAAGGATCACGGGTAGGGTATAAATAATAAAATTATTATTAGTAGTAGTAGTAGTCGTAGTCCATATGGGTCAGTCTGGATGATACCTGCGGGTCCCTTCCAAACCTGTGATCCTGTATCTGTGTGGTTAGAATCTTTAAGAGGAAACCTGATGAAAATCGAGGTGATTTTAATCTGTTTTAGTATTTTAACTTACGTATGTTTTAAAGTATGGCTGTAATTTTTTCTTGTTTTATGTTTTTGTAAACCACTTTGAGAGTCCTTTTAAAAAATTGCTTTCAATCAAGCAGTATATAAATTTTATGAAATAAATAAATAAAACCAGCCAGACCAGTACCTTTGTTAAGACAGCAGCCTTAGCTGGCCAGTTAAGTATTGACATTTACATGTCCAAAGAGGTTGCCCTGTTGCCATAGAAACAAACAGGTGGGCCTTTTCTCACCTCACCTAGCTGGATGCCACAACATCCTAGGCTTGAGAACAATAGGCTTGCGGACGTGTATGATAGAGTTTCAGCTGCTGCTGGGAGCTGGGGGCACAGAGGCTTCTTTTGCTCTGTGCTGGACCCAAATCTGTGGCTTGGAGACTTCCCTGGAACCTAATGGGGAGGCAAGATCTGTGAAGTGCTAATGCTGTGAGCCCTTCCATCCTCTGCTCAGGTTATATATATGTGTGTGTGTAAATAAAACCATCTATCAAAAAGACCCTACACACTGATCTTCATTCCAAGGAAACAAAGCCCATGGTAAGTGCAGGAACCCCTGGAAACTGCTGCCATTTGGAGCTTGGAGCTTGCAACATGTCTGTGCTCAATGAACTGGTGCTTTGAATCAGTATGAGTCCACTTCCTGTGCTCCCAGTTCAGAGTGGCTGGCTGCAAAGCGCCTAAGAAAAGCCTGCTGGATCAGGCCACCATCCTGTTCTCACTGTGGTCAACCAGATGCCTCAATGGGAGATCAGCAAGCAAGACTTGAGCAATACCAGCAACTAGTATTCAGAAGCACTGCTGCTTCCAACTGGTGGCAGCACAGCTTAGCCATCATGACTAGTAGCCAGCAATAGCCCTCTTCTAGATGAATTTGTCTAATCCTCTTGTGGGAGTGAGTTCCATAGCTGAACTCTGTACTGCAGCAGTACACAAATCGGGAGCTGCCTAATACTAGCCTGATGGCTGCTCCCTAATCCCAAGAAACCTCAGTCAGCCTTCGCTAATCTGGTGGCCGCCAGATCTCACCAGCCCCATAGCCAGCACAATCTTTGGGAGTTGTAGCTCAAAACATCTGGAGGGCACCAGGTTGGTGAAGGCTGATCCTCAGGCTACTCACCCATATCTAGATTTAGTCAGCTCGAGGAGGTTTGATTATTCCCTAACCCCAAACCCCTTGTGTCTCAGAAATTAAGCAGGGTGTACAGCCATTTAAACCACCAGGTTTCCCCTGCAGAGTCCATAGAAGCAGATATCAGCAAAGGAACAATACCTCACACCCTTCTTTCTAGGCATTTTGGTGCAGAAAGTGCTGCTTTAAACCTGCCGCAGCATCCACAGTGGGCAGAAGTCATGTGAATTGATCAAAACAATTGGAGGCTGCTAAATGAGCATGAGTCCTGCTGGACCAGACCAGTGGCCCATCCAGTCCCCTATCCTAGTCTCACAAAAATGCCTGAATGGGAATCCCAAAAGAAGGACCTGAGTGCAAGAGCCCTCTCTCCTCCTGTGCCTTCCAGCAACTGGTATTCAGAAGCATTGCTGCCTCTGACCATGGAGCCAGCGCACAGCCATCATGGCTTGTATCCATGGATAGCCTTTTCTTCCATGAATTTGTCCAGTCCTCTTTTAAAGCCACTCAAGTTGAAAGCCATCCCTGCTCCTGTGGAAATAAGTTCCACAGTTTAACTATATGTGGAGGGGAGAAGGGCTTTTTAAAAATCTGTCCTGAATCTTCCAACATTCAGCTTCATTGGATGTTTGTGAGTTCTAGTGCTAAGAGAAGGGTGGAAACCTTTCTCTAATGCATTCTTTTTTATCAGCTTCTGTTATGTCACCTCTCAGTTGTCTTTTCTCTAAACTAAGCTTGGCAAAGGCTGCACCCGTTGGCCTTGCTTTGTTCTCCCCCACCCTCTTTGCCATGCACATGTGCATAAAACAGGAAAGGGCAGCAAGCGCAGCAGCAGCTGCTTGCATGGATGGTTTGCAAAATGCATGCAAACACAATTTTTTGTGCCCAACGAGAAAGGAGGAAGCGAGGAGGAACTGGAGCACAGTGAAACCTCTGGCTGCAGAGCAAAAGCAGCAGAGTGGAGTCACTCTGACTCTGTGGGCTGAACTTGTTGACACCACCCTTTTCCCACTCTTTGTTTGTAAACCACCCCCCTCCTCATAATATAGATTGGTAGGTGGAAAGATAGACACATATTTTAATTATTTTGTAAAAATGTATATACCGCTTGATTGTAGAAAACCTCAGAGCAGTTTATAAAAAGAATAAAAGAGCAAGGTTAACATTCAAAGATATTTTAAAAAAGCAATAAACTAAAACTCATCACCATTTTACACATCTGGGTAGGCTTTAAAAAAAAATTATTCTAGCAGGCTCCAAAAAGAGTACCGTGAAGACACCTGCCTGATGTCAATTGGCAAGGAGTTTCAGAGTGTAGGTGCTGCCACACTAACAGATTGATTTCTTACAAATGCAGTGTGGATATTATGTGCTACCTGTAACAGTGCCAAACCCACAGATTGAAGCAGTTGGGAGGGCATATATTTGTTGTTGTTTAGTCGTTTAGTCGTGTCCGACTCTTCGTGACCCCATGGACCAGAGCATGCCAGGCACTTCTGTCTTCCACTGCCTCCTGCAGTTTGGTCAAACTCATGCTGGTAGCTTCGAGAACCATCTAGTCCTCTGTCATCCCCTTTTCCTTGTGCCTTCAATCTTCCCCAACATCAGGGTCTTTTCCAGGGAGTCTTCTCTTCTCATGAGGTGGCCAAAGTATTGGAGCCTCAGCTTCACGATCTGTCTTTCCAGTGAGCACTCAGGGCTGATTTCCTTAAGAGTGGATACGTTTTAACTTCTTGCAGTCCATGGGACTCTCAAGAGTCTCCT